GTGGTCCATTGGGTCCATTAGTGTAACACTTTAACCATATTTAGTATTTTATTAATGGCAATGGACCAGTCCAAAATCCATTTGTTCTCAATGGGCCAGTCAATTTGCCAACCCTGCTAAGATTCCACTAGTGAATCCTTTTATTGATGATGATTATGATGGTATTGCTGATGAGGAATTAAGAGAAATAGTTGAATATAGTATAGTTTTATTACTATTACTAACTTTAACAAATGCTATATTATTTCCTATTATCCTCTATATTGGAAATTTTATTTTAATATTAGATACAAGTGTACTAGCAACTCCAGCTCCTAACAGATATGATGAAAGTGTAAATGATTATTATGAAATAGAAGATATAAGTGATGACTATGACTATGACAATGACTATAATGATGATGATGATGAATTGCTATATTTTTATAACTGTTTAATAAAATATCAAGTATTTAATATGATACTCACTCATAATTAATTAGAAAATTAAATCTGAATATAACAAAACGAAATGGAAATTAAGGTCAGGACAATATCTAGGAGATATCATGTATAAATATGGATTAACTCTTAATACAGAAGATTGTGTGCACTTGTGGATTTTGGATCTTTCTGAAAAACCTTATGGATAAACTGGTGATGATGAAAAAGAAAGAATTGCTGAAGATTATCTACCATTTCTGGAATTATCTGTTCATTTTTTATTTTCACATTTAATTGTAAATATAAATACTTTGGTAATTTTGTACTTTTAATGTTTTTACTTATATTTTAACTTAAAAAATTTTCCCTATAATTTTTATGATTCAAATGAATTACAAAAAAAACTATATAGGACTATCTTAAAGTAAATGAAATGCATAATAAATAATTCCATTTTATTTTTGAATCAATAAAGCATTGTTTTAGACATATGCTCTTTTTTTGGGAGGACCCACAAAATTCCCTACTCAAAAATCAAAATGAAATGTAAATGTTTGGAGTGTATGCAGAGATTTAATTATCAGGAGCATTCCTATTTTTAATAATCTCAGGTATATATCATTGATATCCCCATAAATTTAGATTCTTTTATTATTACAATATTGATAATACTAATAAATAAATTATTATTGATCCAATCATAAAAATAAATAATAATTCTTCTAATTGAATTAACATTCATATAATATTCATGCATTTTATTATTTGATTGATTCATCACATATGCACTATTAATTAGTTGGCCATATAAATACTTGCTGATAATTTGAACCAAATCTTCAAAGAAAAAGTTTACTACTTTAAATAAGTTTTTTAATTGAGCATGCACAAGTGAGCTATGTAAATTATGGCATATAAAGTGTACAACATTCTGTTGTAAAAAATTGTTACATGGAAAATTAAGTTGCAACATTTTGCTGTACATCATGAGTTGAAAAAAAGAATTATATAAATTTCAAATTTAAGCTTTTTATTTTTATTCAATTCTTCATTTTAATAGGATCTGATAATGCCAAATTAAATGTATCATAGCCAGTGTAAAAAAAGTTTTTTTATCAATTCATTTTTTTGATATGGATAATCAATCTATTTTTTTATCTTGGCATGTATCCAACCAATTGAGATGAAATAACTTGTGTTAGCACTCAATTGAACTCTAGATCATGTAAAAATAAAAATGCTATATAAGTATTTTGATGCCTTTAAAATTTTTTTAATAATATCTCTTTACATTATTATATCTCAGTATGTATCCAATGAATTGAGATGAAATAACTTGAGTTAGCACTTCTTTGGGCTCTAGATTAAGAAAATATTATATAAGTATTTTGATGCCTTTGAAAATTTTTAATAATAATATTAAATATTTTTTTACATTACTATATCTCAACATGTATCAAATGAAATAATTTGTGTTGGTACTTATTTGTAATCTAGATTATGTAAAAATGAAAACGTTATATAAATATTTTGATGCCTTTAAAAACTTTTTTATAATATCTCTTTACATTATTATTATATTTCAATATGTATCCAATGAATTGAAATGAAATAACTTGTGTTGGCACTTATTTATGTAAAAATGGAAACGTCATATAAATATTTAAGTAGCTTTTTCTAAATATAAAAAATATAAATATTTTATTTAAATTACCTTTAAATTTCTGTTTCGACATATTTCAAAAAAAGTAGCATTGTAAAGTTTTAACTAGAAAACCATCTGTAATTAAGCAAAAATTGCAACTTTGATTTTAGTTTAAAGTATTACTTTTCTAAATCATGTATAAATAAAAGTAGTTCTTTATATAAACCAATAGGTTATTTTAAATTGCCAAAAAAAAATATTTAAGTGCGACATGTCCAAGGACTGTTTTAATTGATGCTTACGAATAAAAATACTCAAGATGTTACCTCATTGAAAATATTATGCTCCCCTCAATAAATATGGTAGGGGAAAGATATAATTTAATTTTGTGAGTGTTGATATATTAGGTTCATTTGGTAAATGAAATTATGGAATTGGTTGAAGTTTGTATTTTGATTATAGTGAGATGATTGATAATTGATGGAATGTAAGAAGACAGCGAAACAAAATAATGTACAAGAAAGTATATAAACATTATTTGTATATGAGATACTCTTTATTAATTTAGTCCGAGCCATTTACAACTTCAGATACTGAAATAAAAATCCGAAGTTTGGTAATCAGACATGATAATAGTTACATTATAGAAAAAAATTTAGATGATATTTTTAACTATAATTTTTTATTATGGGATATTTTGTGACTCACACGCATGCAATATACTGTATATATTAATATTCATTATTTGATTAATCGGATATTTGATTTTTCATTGATTGGTTGACCAAATATAAGCGAATAACTGATAATCCGTGAATAACTAATACTGAACTGAAATAATTTTGAGTATTCAAGCTCTTCTAATTCTCATTCTTGTGATAGTTCTCATCTTTCATTTAGTCACTTCGCTTTGAAAAGGCATTAGATTTTCTGTTGAAAAAATTATATCAGTCCAAATTAAGGTTTCCGGTCCAAACTGTTTTCTCAAAGCCCAAACTAATTTAGGCAATTTGGGCTTCTCAGCATTTTTTATAAACATTAACATTAAAAAACTATACCAATCAACTTATTTTAACTTAAACAACTTTAAAGTAATTTCGCCCAATTTTGGCTAATAACAAAAAATAGTTTTGGGCTTATAAAAAAGTAATTTTTGTCCAAAGTGTTTTGACAATTTTGGCTACTAATAAAGAGAGTTTCAGCCAGAACCTTAATTAATACTGTATATCACAAATTTTACATCTTTTAAAATATCTAAAACTTTATTATAATCTTTTTAACACAACATCTTTTGCTTCAGGGAACCAACTTTAGTTAAGTATTCAATACTATTAAATTCATTATATGGAATCCAATTCACATTACCAATATAATAAAAAAATTTAGCTATCAATTAATATTCCAATTTTTGGAAATGGGAAAAGTCCTTTACACAGCATAAAACAACACTAAACAATGATACAATGTGCAATATTAGTTTAATTAACACACAAAGAAATTTATTATTTTCCGTGTCATGATTTTCCGTGTCATGATCTTAAAGTTTATAATTTCTTTTTATGCTATGGTTTTTTGGTTTTGACACAATCAAAGTTTTCACTTTATTTAGCCAAATCTGCGCCATATGGTAAATGATTTACTTCTTAAATAGTCCTTTGGCGAAATGAAGGAGCGGACAATGAATAGAAAAAATCTTTAATTTTTTGGTGAAAGCGATCCACATAATTTATTCGATGATCTACATAAATTCCACGTGATAAACATTTATCGTGCAATAATAAATCTTTTCCCAGGCGAACGAACAAAGATTACTATTATTGGTGTGTTATTTAATCAATTGTTAAAATAGTATGAAATAAATTAGAAGAAAACATTGTTTTATTATTATCTTTTGACGATTCTGGTTAGTTATCATTTAATTTAAAAAATCAATTGAATTAATTATTGTTTTTTGTTATTATTGTTTTGCTGACACTGAAAATACTCTTTTGGTGGAGGAGTATCTTTCTTATACTTGTTGTTTAATTTACTTTATAAGAAAAGCGTTATTCTATCATTAGTAATTAATTAATTAATTGACAATTGAATTGGTTTTTTCGTTACATAATAACATTAAAAATACTAAAAACACATTTTACGAACCATCTTTGACAATTTTTGATTAGTTGACAATTGAATTGATTATTATTTTAATTGGTATTAAATATTTAATATAGAATTGAATTGATTATTGATTATTATTAAAAATGCTAAAAACTATTTTACGAATTATTTTTGATTAGTTGACAATTGAATTGATTATTGTTTATTATTAAAAAGTAATTTACGAATTATCATTTGTCCTGGTTTTTTTTTTTTTTGTGGCGACGAAGCATCTTCTTTAAGTTTTTCGTTAACAACAATAAGAAAATTAATCACGAATTATGCTGTTTCCTTTTTAGTGATGATCTCAAAAAAAAAATCTCTGCTCTTTCAAACATTGGTTGATTCTTTTTTTAACAACGACCAATTTCCTTTTTTTTTCAATTAATGATAACGGAGCATCTTCTTTGCATTTTTATCAAAAAGACTTGTTAGTTTCTCATTAACAATAAGGAAATTAATTGTGAATTACCCTGTTCCTTTTTATACTTTCAAAAAAAGTCTTGCCAGTTTTTTTTAACAACGACCAATTCCCATTTTTATTATTCATGTAACAAATCTTGTATATACATATATGTGATCGAGTCGTGTGACTTTATGATATTGTAACATCATTGCTATAAAAATTTGAATAATGATAGCGTGATTTTGTGGTTTTAATGTGTGCTTAAATAACGTACCCATTCGTAAACTCAAAATACCTCTGCGTTGGTGCTACAAAAAAAATGTGGGGAAGGCCGTCCTATTTATATGTTTCGAATTTAATTAAATAGACTATTGTCTTGACCCAAGTGATGTGATTTGTTTGCTCGTTATGACGAAGATGATGCAATCCAAACCCAGCTTAACTTTAATGTAAACGTTAAATTTTTGACCGGCATGTGTGATTCTGTAATACGTAAAGAGCAAAAGTTTACGTTACGCTCTCAGTTATAAACAATGTTGTACACGGGACATGCCTAATATTGAGAGGACACGGACAATGTCCAAAGATGTCCGCGTAACAATTTGTCATGCCGACGTCCGGGACATTTAAAGTAGCGGACGCGGAAAACATTGTGGTTATAAAATTTTGGGACGTTCCGTTATCCTTTTTTTAGAAGCGATAATCATTCGCAGATTTTTTTTTTTTTGAATTCTTTTTTTTGGAAAATGTGGGGTTTTACAACTTTTAATCTGTTGTAAATAATAGTGTCTTTCTCCTCTTTGTAGAGCTCAAGCGGGAGAGAAACGAATATGAGCAATTAGTGAAAAATCTCTTGTTTTTCAAACCTAATTTGTCCAAACATTTTATGTTGATCGTATCATTCTTGGAATAGGTTGATTGCACAATGTCATGGATGGTGATATGGTATCCCCACTACCATAACTGTGACCTGCCTGACAGGTAGTAAATTATTTGGAATATGGGACACTCCACTGAACAAGGGACATTCATTATGCACCAAAAAGGATTGCAAAAATAGAATAATAGATGAGAATTTTCTTTATGTACATATTTATTTACATGTTTCTATATTTATAATTTTATTAATTATTTTAATGATACTGATATTAGTATTGAAGACACTATTAATTTATTACTTTTTCAGAAACTTCTACTTCTGCTAGATCAATTAAACGTGTATATAAAAAAAGTTAGAAAATTTTCTTTTATCGAATAAAAAATAAAAAAAACTTCATTGGCCGAATTCTTTGAATTCTGGTGTAACCTTGTATTACAATTGCAATTTGAAAGACAATTCCAAATTCCGAATTCCGTTGCATAAAAGACAACAACATTGCTGTTTGTTGATTGATCTACTTTTTTTTAATTGTCGGAATAAACATTTCCGCCAAGATTTTTATTATTATTTCACCTAAATTAATTCATTTATTTATTTTACATGAATAAAATCACATATACAAAAGGAAATCTTTTGTGAATTTAAAAGTCCAATTAATCCCATTTGGAAAATAGATAGCTAAAAAGATGGAACGTTTCAATAATGACATTCTTGATGGATATATATGATTAATGGTGGTGGTATTAGAGTAATGTCAATTAGAATATTTTGGTGTTGAATTTCTATCGCTGGTTAAACGTTTGTTAAGGTGTGCAGTTTTATCAAAAGCTTGACCTTTATCAACTAAAACTGTACATCTTTACAAACATTTGCTACAAGTCAATTTTGTTAGTGTATCTAATACAAATAATTTCAAAATAATAATGGTCGCGTGACGGTTATTTCTGATTGTAATTATAATTTGATAGTAGATAGTATTAATAGTATTAAATATAAACAAGAAGAAAACCATTATTAATTATTATTATATACTCCATTTAATTCAAAAACCTTACGTTTGCTCATTATGAATCAATTTTGATATTATTAACTTTCAATAAACCATTATATATAATTATTCCATTTTAGAGTAGCCTGAATGCGGTATTTAACGAGGTTTCATCTAGTTTTAAAGGAATGATCAAACTGAGAAATAAATAAATGAAATCCATCTTATTTTCGCTGGACAATATGCAAATAATGTTTTTAATATTTCCTAAATTTAATATATTCAATCCACTCCTACTAAATTTAATATATCAATTGAGAAAGTGAATTGTGACATTATTAATAGTCTCGAGATGCTCTGTCGCGGCCGATTTAGTAAATTCACAAAAACCAAATAGAATATTGACAGCATTGCATCCAAAAAACGTCTGTTACTTATTCTTTGATTAATTAAATCTTCTTTTAAATATGCACTAATCTAAAACTTAGTACGGCCTTATTATCTCAAGTTTAGATACCATAAAATTTGATTGACCGTGAATGAATAACAACTCTTGTTATGCGAAGGTGATGATGATTAATTTAGACAATAGCACAGCAGAAACATTAATGGAAATGTCATTGAATGCACTAAATAGTAAAATTGCTTGGAATTCCAGCCAGGATCCTTAGAGGATTCGGCTAAAAGAGTAGTCTATTACGAAAAGAAGTTTATCAAACAGGTTCAAAAATATGGATTCAATAATAATTAATTAAAAAGGATTTATTGTACATGTATGTCTGCCTATTTCCGCCTGGAATGTTTCATAGTCGGGCATACAATAAATCAATTATTGAATGCAGAAACATGCATAAACTACGTCAAAAATTATTTACGTGGCACTATTTTAAACTCGGCGGCCATTCTGATTGTTCCATTTATTGTGCAATAACTCTAATTTAGAAAATTGCACCTTCAACTAGTTCTCCATTTAAGTATCTAATAATAATAACAAACAAATGATTTGAGAAATCATCTTATAAACCATATCAAATAAGTCAAAAATTCTTGACAAATAAAAAATTGAAGCTACTAGTAGTTGTACAAGGCGATTCCCATCAAAGAAACATGTTTTTAGCAATTCTAAAAATTTAAAATAAACGGAATTAAGCGTTAAATTCTATTAAATTTTTTAATAAGAAACTTTTCTGGAAAGGTCCGTTGCAATTTTTACACATGACAATAACAAAAACAACAACAACAATAATAAAAATAATAATAATAATAATAATAAAAATAATACTAAAAAAAATGATAATAATAATAATAATAATAATAATAATAAAATAATAATAATAATAATAATAATATACTTGGTCGAATTTCCCTTTTTTTTAAAAAATTAAAGAGCTTCGCCATTCATGTGAACACACGGAGCTCGATTTTCGTAGCAAAGCCCCCACATTAATTAAAGTTAACAGGTGCAACAATTGCATCGAAAGAAAAGACAAGGATTAAAGATATACTACTAATTTATAAATGAGGATTTATTGTATTGCCTATTTAGATTTCATATTTATATGCTGCGATCTAGAACCAACTTTATCTTTTCTCTAAAGATAGAAAAAAAAAAAAGGAATTTCATTCGATTAAATCACGTTGTAAATCAAGTTTTCATAACAAGTATCCAACATGAACTAGCTAAATTCATTTATTTGATAATATAGTTCGAGTCAGCTTTCCGGAAACTAAAGACTAAAAAAATTTTGATATTAATATACAAATTACCTATTACGATTCAATGATTACTCAATAATATACAAGCCATGTAGAATGCAAATATTAGTAGTTAGTCACCGATAATCCAGCTACCATTAACCTGACTATCGCTAATTCGACTCCTAATAATCCAACCATCGCCATCATCATTCGTTGATTGCGAATTTCATTATGTAATAATGAAAATACATTATTATTAGATCGTTGCAGAAATGTTTGTTTGTTTGTTTATATTAATCGTCGAACCAAGTGTATTTGCAATCAATTGGTAATAATTAGAAGGCCAATCAACAAGTCTCTAGCACGATCGATCATTTAATATACCAATTATTATTATTATTATTATTATTATTATTATTATTATTATTATTCTCGATAAACCGATGCTGATAATGAATCGCGTTTTCTGACAGCTTCATGAATCCTTAAATCAAAGTAATTTATATGGAAAACGAATAAAACTATGTTTACTTTAATGCAACGCCACCCATATATATATATATATACACACAATAATCAAAGACTTGCTATTATAAAAAAGCTCCTAAAATTACACAATTTATTATTGTATAAATAAAATAAAAACCATTAAAAATAAGCCAAATATAGAATAAAAAGAGTTAATTGGTGTAAAAAAGGCTTCGGACATTTAAACAAAATAGTAATAGTAATAATAATATAGGTAAAAAAAGGTCGTTAATTTTATCATTTTGTTTAAAGAAAAATTTTAATAGTTTCTTTGTTTATTCAATAAAAAAAACTTTTAATAACTTACTTGGCACAGAACATTATTATTTATATTATTATTATTATTATAATTATTATTATTATTATTATTAATTACAATAAAGATGATGATTAAAATTCATTTTACAACAATCAATACAACAATATACAATAAAATAATAGAGGAATTAATCAACGGCAGTAGATCTTTGTTAACCTCTTACATGACATTCTTTAGACCGAGACATTATAATCATTGGTGGTGCTGTTAAAACAGTCGACAAATTGGGATTTTCAAAACTATGAGCATCCATATTACTACTAGTCTGAACAACATTCATACTAATAACATTATTATTATTATTATTACTAGCCTGAAAATTCATACAATTACTATTATTATTATCGTGGATATTATTATTATTATTATTATTATTATTATAGTTTTTACCACCACCATTATTATTATTGTTGCTATTATTATCAAAAGACGATAACTTTGTGTTTAAATTTGTATTCAAAAAATTCGTCCAGCTATCAAATAATTCTTCCGAGACATAAAGATTATAACCTATCAGTTGCAAAAATCTTCGCTCAACCATGTTAATTTCTTTGACCTGCAAACCACAAATTTTAGACCAAGCGGTATTTGAATAATTTTTATCTTGCAAATATTTAGATGCGATTATCAACGATGCTAAAAACATCCGGCGACCACAAGTTGCCGGGTCGATATTTTTGTTATCTGATAATGAAGACGACGATGGGCCATAAATATTGTTGTTGTTGCAGTTATTGTTATTGAATGTGGTGGTGGTGGTGGTAGTGGTGATAGAGGAGTGAAGTGAGTTAATTTTTGATTGTATTCTAAGTAAGTAAAGTTGAGCAATTTTCAATGTTGATAAAAAAGTTCTTGACCTTTTCAATGTTTCTTTAATAAATAAACGTAATGGAATTATCTGTGCAGTAGTAACTACGGGAAAATTACACCAAATTGTTTCAATTATAGTTGCTGTTGTATCTATATATATATATAATATATATATATAAATAAATTAGAAAAAATCAAACGGATAAACTAAAAAATTAAAAATTAAAAAATTGACCATTAATATTTAATTATAATAATAAATTAATCAATTCTTTACCGACAAGGCTTTCTACGAAAATATCTTTGTCCCTATTAATTAATCCGCTATTGGTAATATTATTATTGTTAGTGATTGTATAATTGTTAGTGTTTGATGTGACAAAATTATTCCTATTTTGTTTTTGGTGAGTCATCATGAATTCTTCATTTTTTTTTATGTTGATCCCTGTTTCAACTTGAAATTTAATTACCAAAAAAAGAAAATTAGTACCAGTTTCCATTTAATAAATAAATAACAACCTCAAATCTAGACTAATTAAATTTACTTACAATTATTAGGAAAATTTTTCATGTTTGATTAAGGAGATGGGTGTATTGGTACGAGAATGAAGGGGGATGGAAGTAAGTTATATATAATCTTTTTTTTTTTTTTTTTATTGAATAAGCAGGCAGATTATAATAATAAACGAATGTTTTTTTTTTGCAATGTAATGTAATAATAATAATAATAATAATGTAATGTTATATATGATAAATGATGAAAATCAAAATTTAAATTTTTGAAAGTTCAAAAAAAATTTTGTTTAAAGGAATTGCTTTATTAAAAAAAAAAAAGAAAAATTGATTTTATTTTATATATCGAGCTTTTAACAAGAATATATTTTAAACGACAACATTTTTTCGATGTTTTTTTTTTTTGTAAAGGAAAATGCTCTTTATATAAATAATTTTTTTTTTTTGTAATGAGTGAATGAATGTATCACACTTTAAATTATTTTTTTATTTCTCAAATAAATAAAATGGCGTATTGATGATCAAAAATTTTTATCGCCCGCTGCTGACATTATTCTATGTATGACTAAGAAAGAATCATCCATCAAGCACACATTATTATTATAGAAAATAATACAAATACAAAAAAAGCATTTTCATTCAAGTTCGGAAATCACAAAATGGAAAAAATATTGCAATTTGGAAAATTTAAATTAACAAATAAACAAATAAAGTAAATCAATGATAATCAAATAAAAATGGTATTTGTCTTTTCCACACAATATGGATATGATGCACAGCATTTACATCAGGTTTGTCAAATAATATGTTTTTTATATTAATTATTTAAAAGATCTACGATGAGGTTTTTCACGATATAACGCAGCACTATAAATTTATACAATAATATAACTTTAAAGAAAAAAGGCATAATACATTAATAATCATAATATTCTTATTATTAAAATTAATTTTATCTGACTCGCAAGTAATAAAGCTAATCAAATTATCGACGCAATTCAGCAAGCATTTGTTGTTTTACAACAACAACAAAGTATCAATCATCATCATCACTTCCGTCAAAATAGTAGTTGTCACATATTAATTTAACATTAACCTGAATAAACAAGGTAGAAATCTAAAAATAATACAAAATTCAAAATTAGAATTCTTTTTAGCCCCCAAACAACGAAATCAAATGTTTATCTTCGCCTCTTATGCGGGACATTGTGTTATGGCTTGCCAACAGCGCTTAACGGTCATAATTAGTTAATTAAAAAAAATTTTTTTTTAATCAAAAAAATAAAATTTTTATGCCTAATGCTTATCTGGTCCAAGACAATTAATTTCATTCAAAGGTATTATTAAATTCTTGCTCTAAAAAAAGCAGTCCAATGAAGCTTAAACAACTATCCTCAATGCCAATTAATTGTTTTCTCTGCAAAAGTGGATTCAATAACACTTGGCTACTACATACAGTCAGTCAACTCTTGTTTTAACGAATTTTGGTCTTGTGACAATGATCGACAAGTCTATTTAAATTTTTTAAATTTTTTAAATTATTAAACATGTGATTAACATACGATAAATCACGTAATTATGATTTTAACCTAAAACGTATGTTAATATATAACTTGTGATTTTTAATGATGATGTAATTAAACTCTTGTCATTTAAATGGCTTTGATTTGATCATTTTAAAAAGGTACTAAAATATTAAAAAATATTTTACAAATCTTATTACAAACATGTCACCCCCAAAAAAAAAACGAGCTTATATTACTGCTGACCAAAAAAGAGAAATTTGTTTATTGAAAAGAAAAATAACCCAACCAAAAAATATAGATTTAGCAAATCAATTTAATATTACCGCAGGTCAGGTTAGTGATATCTGAAAGATGATGATTAATATAATAAATAGATTTAAATTCGTTTCAAGCAAAACTGAAAATATCACATACCTTGCCATTTGTTGATATTGAAGAAGCATTGTTTCATGGATTGAAAAGACTCTTAATGTAATTTAACAATCACAGATTCTTATTATTCAAAAAAAAAAAAAAAGGCTACAAATTTTGCTGAGCTATTAGATAAAGAGTTTAAAGGATCTTCTGGTTGGTTATACACAATTTAAACAAAGAAATTCAAATTCGTGAACATCTTTAAACGTGATGAAACTCCAGAAATGAGAAACACATTGCAAAATCTTCAATTTTTAATTGCAACGAAACTGGTCTTCTCTGGAAAATGGAACCATCTCGCGGTACAAAACAAAATAAAAGATAATTATATTGTTAACATGCGACGCTACTGGAACAGATCAATTGATTCCTTTATTTATTCATAAATATTAAAACCCAAGAGCATCAAAAAAAAAAAAAATATTAACCGCAAATGTCAATCTGGAATGATTAAATAAAAAAAAAATGAAGAGAAAAATATTATTACTTGTTGACAATGCACATATACACAATTTTATAAAAATTCATCATTTACCGCTCACCATACGCCTGCAACCATGTGACGCAAGAATAATTTATAATTTCAAAGACTTAAGCCTAAAAAATATTTTATTTTATATTAATAATAAATATTTTAAAAATTATGATTCACAGCCTGTTGTCCGATAATTATTTAATAATGTAATTGAAGAATATCATCAAGAAAGAATTGTTTTTGAAAATTTAATCAATTAATTATCATTTAACTCTCCATTATAAGCAAAAGAATTGATAACGAAGAAATAAATAACGAAATAATAATTGAAGAAATTATTGTTTTTTCAAGCCAATTGGAGAGCAAATTGTCATTAAAAGTAACACGACCGCACCCAAGGTTTCAATGAAAAATTCAGTAAATGCCTTTGAGATTTTCTTCAACAATGTGATATAGAAACAAAAATTACAATATATTATATAATTTTTTTTTCTGACGATCATTGCCATTTTTGTTTCAACGATTTTTTTGTCGCAACGAATTCAACTCGTCCTATGTATTCGTTGAAACAAGGGTAGACTGTGAACAGTAATTCAAATATAACACTGTTGCTTCAAACCCTCATTTATAATATGACTATATCCAATATATTTAAAAATATTGGCTCTTGAAGCATCAATGGCAAAAGAAAGACTCACGTCGAAAATTCTATAAAAGATTATATTGGCTGTCATAATCATCTTTGGGGCCAGGATTGTTCATCTTGTCTTATAATAGCATCATGTAGTTCGAATTAAATAAGTCTAGTAATCTCAATAAACGGAATCATGCAAGTCAAAATCTCTAGCAAAATAGCCAAGAGATTTATGCGTCGGCTTGATGCATTTCTTCAGCATATAAACATACCAAAAAATAGCATACAACTAAACTAAAGATGAAAAGAGAATCGATATAAAGAAATTGGGATATCACGAGTTCCTTATTTGCCTGATAGCTATCTCTTTTAGCTCTCAATTTCTTCCAAACTAATATGTTTGTCATTGTTGTTGCGTTCTTTTTATGTGTTGAAATTTTTTAGTAAGAATCATTATTTTTTTGTAAATATTCTTTGACATTTTAAATTTTTTGTACTCTGAATAAAAAATTTGTGATCCATATTTTCTTAAATTGGATCCAAATTTTTCAATAATAAGAACACGACGTTTGTTTTAATAATGACGCATGAATTTGCCAACGTTTATCACGTGAAATAATAATATATTTATCTTATTTACTCATTATTATAGTAAATTAAATTTCGTCGCAGCAAACGCTGTCTGATTAAAATTTTGCTATATGTATCTTTCTTGTTGAATCAATTCGACCATTCTTTATCAGTCTTATCATCAATTTCGTTCGTTGCATTATTATTGTGTGGCGAAAAAAACTACAATTCACACTTGCTGTATTATAATAGTCATTTTGGAAATGATTAGATGGATTAATAGTATCAGTAATAATGACAAATAACAATGGTACCGCGTTCAATCAAACAAAATTTTATTCAACAAATAGAATTTTCAATCATCAATAAAGTTGCACGGTACTGCCACATGACCAAACGAACCAAAGATTACACGCCCAATTAATTGTTCACTAATTATATTATTATTAAATTTCCATCTTTTATACAACCATAATAATAATGCTAATAATAAATGGTTTGTCAGTTGAAATTTTAAATAAAATTTTGAATGGAAAACCATAAGAAACTTTTTATATATCAATCTCGACTTTTTTAAAAGTATGTGCACCATTGTTATGAAAAAATTTATGTGAAAATACGTGGGAGGGAATAGACAATGTGGAGAAACGTAATTCCACAAACATGCAGTTGGAAACTAATTTTTAATTTCACAAACATACAGTCAGAAAATATTTTTTTGAAAAATAGTAAATTTTTATTGAAAATCTTCTGACTTGCCATCACAAACTTCATTGAATGTAAAAAGATATAAGCCATTCTGGGACGAATTCGCTCAAAAACTCACAAATTGGTGTTGGTTACCTCTAAAAACTAATAGTGAAGTATTGTGCTCAAGTCAATGGAGTGACTCTTTAAAAAGACTAGCCTTGGTTCATGGATTACAATTGACTCAATTAAACCAAACACCTACAGATTTAAATAATCTTCCCCTTTACCAGATGGAACATGGAATAATTTTAAAGATGCAATTTATTCTAAAGAGAATTTAACTTCACCATCTTCCTTTGATGCTATTCCTTTATCTTCAGCCTCCTCTTTCAAAAAATCTCCAGCAGGAAAATTGGACTTTAACCTAATTCGGAAGAAAAAAAAACAAACTATTAAAATGGATTGGTACTGTGCACGCTGGACATACAACCAATGCCTAGCTGCAATTAATAGTGATATAAAAAACAAAGATATAAAGTATTTACATGAAAATTATATCACTAATAAATATGAAAAATTTAAAGACATTAGTCTTAAGTGGGTTCTTGACACACATTATGACATTAGGGATGCAAGCAATGATGGACCTTTTAAAAAAATTATAAGTCTAATGTTGCTTCAAAAAGAAAAAACTTTAAATTGAAGTTCAGATCTAAAAAGGATAAATCACAATGCATCACCATTTCATCAAGGGACTGGGAAAGAAATCGCGGTCATTATTCGTTTCTCAAAGATATTAAAACAAGCAAAAAAATACCCGAAATAAATTATGAACTTCGTCTCACCATGAATCGTCTTGGTGAATTCTACTTGTGTATCCCCAAACCACTTGAAATTAAGGACGATAACCAAGGTCCTAAATTTTCAGTGGTTGATGAGAACAAAGGCGCCGGTATCATTTCTCTTGATCCAGGAGTGAGAACCTTCATGACTGGCTATAGCCCAAGTGGTGAGGTTATAGAATGGGGAAAAGGGGATATTGGTAGGATACATCGCTTGTGTTGCATTATGATAGAATCCAAGGTGAAAGGGGTTTTATTCATGGCAAACAAATAAACATAAAAGGTATAAGCTCCGTCGGTGCATGCTCCAAATCCACAAGAAAATCCGTAATCTTGTGGATGAATGTCATAAAAGATTAGCAAGATGGTTGTGTGCAAACCACCATATAGTTTTTCTCCCTGAGCTTAAAACACAATATATGGTTGAAAAATACGGTTCTAGAAAAATCCACTATAAAACAGCAAGACAAATGTTGACCTGATCACATTACCGTTTTCGCCAACGTTTGCCCCACAAATCCCGTGAGTACCCTTGGTTCAAGGTCATCATCTGCATTGAGGAATACACCAGCAAAGCATGCGGATGTTGTGGAGTCATCAAGTCAAATTTGGGCGGTTCAAAGATCTTTAATTGTACATCTTGCAAAATCCACCATCAACAGAGATGTAAACGGAGCTCGAAATATACTTTTGAAGTGTATTACAAAAAAAACGACAAGAGTCATTCACGACGTTGAGGCTTACACCCGAGACAGCTTATTGTAGGCTGTCTATGTAGGACTTGTACTTAGTATAGGTTCAATGTAAGAGAATGTAATTCTTATTATGAATTTTATAATAAAAACACGTGACACATTTTTATAATATTTAAAAAAGCTCACTAAATTTTATCTTGCCAAGTAGAATCAGAGATTTATAATTTATCAAGGATCTTTAAGGATCTTTATGTTATATTAAATATTTAAATTTTCATAGATTATATTTGTTACTATATAGTTAATTTTATCTTTTTCTTCATATCCCCCCATTTAATGTATTAAAATACTTAACCCACGTTGCTTTATGAACTTGTTCAAATCTCCGAAGAAGTGGATAATCATTTAGAAGCCTTGGGAACCTTTAGCTAAATATTCAATATTTTTAAATTAAATTGAATCATTAATATCCTCTGCATTTATCGATAATTATAACCATTCTTCATTTTCGGTTAAATTTTTACGGTAACATAATCCAATTCTATATGGTGGTTTATTGAATTCTTTAAAAGTACTAATGTATTTATATTATTATTAGCTCAAAAAATTCATTTTAACAATATCGTTAGTGTAACTGAAATGTCTTTACAAAAAAATTTGTTTAAAAGAAAACTTGAAAATCCATTTCCCGGATTAGAAGAACAAATAGAAGAAAAAGAAGAAGAAATATATGAAGAAGTAATTGACGACGAAGAGGAGGGTGGAGAGGAAGAGAAAAGAGACACTATTGGAAATTCTCATAAAATGTTAATTAATTAATATTTATTATCTTGTCACTATGTTCATTGATATTTAATTATCGTTTGATAAACGTAAAAATTTTCTAGTTTTATAAGACCAGGCATTAAAACAAAGTGTCAACCAGTATCGTGGCAAACTTGCTATGACATTTGTAGAGATATTAAAATACCAGGAACTGAAGATATATCCTTCTATCTATCTATCTATCTATCTATCACAGTTTCTGACTAAATAGTTAACTGTTTATTAGCGATAATTTTTTAAAGATTTTTTTTTTTTGAAGTGATACAATTCCTTTACCAATAGAAAATTTTAATAAATTGATACGTATTTAGAGTTTATGAGATTGATGGGAGAACTGTTCAAGCAGATAATAATGATGATGATAGTCATGTCGATGATAATGAAGTACCACTTTTTGTGTTTCATCACGGAGCAGGATATTCTGCTTTGTCATTTGCATTGACAGTTTTAAATATTAAAAAATTAATGAATGGTGAATGCTCAGTGCTTGCTTATGATTGCAGAGGTCATGGTATGTAAGAATGTGATATTTATATCATATATCTAATAATAATAATAATTGTTTATAAAATATTTTGTATCAATTATTATTTCTAAACTTTTTTTTTTAGGTCATACAATAACTTCAGACGATTCTAATTTATCATTGGATAGATTGAGTCAAGATTTGGTGAATGTATTGAAAGCAAGATTTGGTGAGGATGTGATTACAAAAAGAGATATATTTTTAATTGGTCATAGGTAATTAATTCCTTCTGGGCAAAAGATATTCAAAGAAGGAAACAACAAATTTGCTAAAATTATTCAATAATCATAGTATGGGTGGATGTGTCGTTTCAGATGTTGCTTCAAAAAGGTTAATACCTTCTTTGACTTGTTTGGCGAATTTAGACGTAGTTGAGGGTTAGGGTGGTTTTTATTTTGATTAAAACGATCGTTACATTTATTATTTATGTATTTATATATTTATATTATTTATAATATATCATTGTTATGTTGAAGGATCTGCTATGGAAGCATTGTCAGGAATGATGAATTTCCTAAGGACAAGACCAACTGAATTCAAATCAATCGAAGACGCGATTCATTGGAGGTAATAATAACAATAATTTATTATCGCTATTTATATACTATTAATAATCAATTATAATGGTAAATATAAAAATAGTGTAAAATCAGGAACAATTAGGAATTTGACATCATCCAAAGTTTCTGTTCCAAGTCTTTTCAAAGAGCAACGATTTTCAGGAAGTGGCGGTAATAATAATTTGATAAAGTATGTTTGGATAACTGATTTAGCAACTTCTCAAAAATATTGGGAAGGTAAGTAAATAATCAAGGTTATTAATATGAAGTCTATGAAGTTTATGAAGATAAAGAGTTCAATAATAATAATAATATTATTATTAATGTTATGACTATGATCCAATTTTTAAACGTTTTTTTATTTATAAATATTATTTTGATAGGTTGGTTTACTGGATTATCTGAAAAATTTTTATCTGCCAGAGCTGCAAAATTACTTTTACTTGCAGGTAATATAATAAATATATCTATATTTAATTACATTCTCAAAAGATTTAAATATTAATCTTTTTTCACTTTACCTGATTAAAATAATAGGAACTGATCGATTAGATAAGCCATTAACAATTGCACAAATGCAAGGTAAATATCAGTTAATAATATTTCCTGATGTTGGTCATATGTTACATGAAGATGCACCAGGAAAAACTGCATCAACATTGGTTGAATTTTGGAAAAGAAATGAAAGATTGGTTTTACCTATCAAGAAGCCGTAATTTAAAATTTATTTTCAACAAAATTATATAAAAAGTAAATATAAAAAAAAATATTGTAATAACTAACATTTGTGAAAAACTATATATATATATAACAAAAAAAAATATGTGTAATAACTGTTGCATTTTATGAAAATGTCTTGAAAATATAATGTCCAATGATGTTAACAATGAAGAGTAACGAAAAAAAAATTTCATTTATACACAATAAAAACCAAAATGCGGTAATGACAGAATATATATTTAATTGATAATTAATGTTATTTTATCTAATTGGAAAATCAAAAATTAGTATCGTGAGGACAAATATAATGATTATTTATAACTTCAAATTAATAAAATCAAATAAATACCATTTTTAGTTGTTGATTATTTAATTTGGAATCATCTTGAAGCAATTTTCTCATGATAGAAGAATATTGCAATGCTTCTTGTGAAATTTTCTTCCAAGATTTAGCAATAATTCTTGCAATAATTCTTGGTATTCTTCCATTACTACCATATTCATGCTTTTCCAATTTCTTAATCAAATCACTTATATAAACTTCTTGATCACTTAAACGTGATTCAAATTTACTAAGAACATCATAAACACCAGCCAATCCTTTATTCAATTCACCAACTTGATGGGTCAATTTATCTCTTTCACCTTGTAACTTATAATTAATATAATAATATTGTGCAGTAGGTATGCCCTTGAAAACTCCAGCACTAGTTGTTCCAAGACTAAAGGTTCCCAACCCCAGCCCAAACAAAATATCTGCACAAATAGTTACTTCTAAACTAGCTGCAACAGCTGACACGCCACCAGTAAACGGTAATGCTAACAACGATACACCGAGCCCCGCTCCTGCTGCAATCAAACTTTTTTTAGCTATAGAACTTGAATTCTCAATTTGAGTTCCTTTTTTAATCAATTTGTCTCGAGTAGTTGACATCATATCTTTTTCATTTCTTAATATCTTTTCATTATATTTAATCAATTCCATATGAATGTTTTCAAGATTTCTCTTGATTTGTGTTATTTCTGATTTCAATTCGATAGCACTCCTTCTATTATTAATAGCGTCATCTTTTAACGTTTTCAAAGCAACCAATAAATCTGCATGGTCGATGCTATGATCTTCACAACTATCAGCAAAAACAATTAAACTTTCAGCAAAAACATGTAATTTAGTGCTCTCAGCTATAGATTTTTCAACAAATTCCTTGAATCCATCTTTCTCTCTATTGATGCTGTCCAATTTTGAAATAACAAATTTATCTTCATCAATAACTTTCATTGTTGAATAGATCAAAAAGTTTTTAATCGTCGTTTCCGTTTCACTTCTAAGCTCCTCCATATTTGGTAAATTTTCAAATTCTTGATTGTCAATATTATTATTATCATCATTAGTAGTAATAGTAGTAGTATTATTGTCTTCATTGCCACTTCCATCTCCTTGGCTACTATTAATTTTATTGTGATTTCCCCTTATATATGTCATTTTTTCAAAAAAAAATTTTAATAAATGGTATTATTTGAAATTGGAAAAAAAAGATTGTTATTATGCTAATAATACTATAAATGAATAATGAATATTACAAAATTGAATTTCGTCACAAGTTTGGTAAATTAAATATGTATTAACCTATTCCCAAAATAGCAATTTAAAATTTTTATGAAACAAAATGTGAAGAACGTGACCATTATTTATGAACACATGACTTTTTTGGGGGAGAAAAAAACTATTATTACTATTTTTTTATTCATAAAATGACAAGAGAATTTTTAGTAAATATGGAATAAATAAATGGCTAGAATGATTAACTTAAATTGGCAGAAATTTTTCATGTGATTTAGGGTAATGTCAAATATTAATATAGATGATGATCTACACAAAATGTATTAATTATAATTCTTTTACCTATATATCTCAAGAAAAGCTCTAGCAATTATGAATATATTGTACATGTAAACTCAATAAGCCAGATGCAGCAATCAATTGTTTTAAAGTACTTGATAATATAAATAAATGACTGACTTGTGTGTTTTAAATTTGTAAAATTGCTAAATAATCTTATTGTCCACAACAATAGCAGTGGTGCGTTGTTTTTCTTAATCCTTTTAACAACCAAGATAAACGTTTGTATTACCAAGAATTTCAGGGATCAAAATTTTTATCATAATAGGTCCCTGCAAACTTCATAGAATTCCTGCTTATTATATGATTTTGACTCGGACCAAAATTAATATTAATACTAAGGTTTGCAGATTTGACCCATAATATATACTAACATTAATATTGAAAATTTTGAAACTGTCTACTGTAACAAAATTAATTAATAATTTGCTGATTTTTATAATATTTTCAATATAAAAGATTTATATTGGTTTTTGTTTTTGAATGACTACCAACCTTTTTGATTTATATAATAATTTGACCAATTGACCCTATAATGACTGTTACATTTTAAATTTATAAATAATTTGACCCTATTATAATCACTGACAAAACATCTAATTTATATATGAACTCGACCCAACTGTAGCGCAGGAACCTATCTATGAAATTTGTGGGGTCCTCTGCAAATGTAATATGATCATGATATTTGTTTTTTGCTTCTTATATAAGATTATCTCTCATAAAAATGATTAATATCGTGAGGTCAAAATCCGCATCTCACACGAACCTCTTGATTTGGTTAGAATAGTATTTAATTACACTATATTGAGAAAAATTATGGCTTTTTTTAAAATTACTTAGCCATCCACCTGACGCTCTAAAATCTCGAAAACCTAAAAATTCTGCAGAACGTATTACTTATGATTGCAATACAGAACCAGTAATAGTTAAATACTTGCCCCACAACGGATTAATAGCTTGAGCGCCATTACTGCCATAAAATAAAGAGAGTAGAAAAATTGAAATTTCAACAAAACAAATTTCTAGTATTCGTTTTGTTAGAAGTAACATTTTATTATAAAAGTTCATTAGCGCGTCAACGTAGTATATGTGAATATGTAAACTTTGATGTATAACTTTTTTAAACCGAAATTTTTTTTAAAAATATATTAACTTCGTCTTATCAAAGATTACTTGATAAAACGATTTTTGAGCCCAAACAAGTACATCGGTTTAACGAGTTCCGACTGTAAATCTTATTTCTTTAACAAGATAATATAAATTACATTAATTATATTTATAATCTATATTACTATGACTTGAGAAAGTGTCAGTTACTACTATTCATTTATTATTATCATTATATACAAGGGCTAAGGAAAAATAGATTGATAAAGAAAAAAATTTAATACTTTTATTATTTATAATTTTATTCAAATTTATTCGAATTATTAGTTTTATTTGAATAAACTTTCAATGCAATTATTCGAATACTCAAATTCATAACTAATAAAACGAATAATCTGAATAAACAGAAACCACGACTCACTCAGTCCACTCTCCCTCTTTTTTTTACAAGTTCAAGATCAATGACCATTAAAACCAATCTTATGTATTGGAAAAAAATCACTCACTATCAATATCGATAAAGATACAATGGGATTTTCATCCAGTGAGAAGGATTTAACCATGTGGTTAAATGTTTAAATCAATTTATAAAATTTTTTTTGCAATTCTCTTTCACTGATTTTTCATGGCAATACTAGATATGAAATTAATATTAAGATAAAAATCTTTAAAAGATGCATTCTGATAAGTTGTTAAATGAATTAATCAAATGAGACAATTAATAGAAGCAATAGTAAAATCGTTAGATAATAATCTATCATATGAATTTATTTGAAACACTAAAAAAATTAAAGAATTGCCTAGATTTTTTTTCGAATGATTATCTGAATGATTATCAGACTATTACGGAGATTTAAAACTTGAAAGAATCACTTTATTGGATACGTTAAACATATGTATTAGTATATATAAAAAATACCAATCATCTATATATAGATATTCTATTATTGGTTAATAAAAAAATTAAAAAATTTTCATTCGTCATGATTACACGGTTGCAATATTTTCTCATGCAAATAATTAAATGAAAAGATAATCCAATTAAAATCTGATATTGTCCTATACTTGGCGCATGAAATGTTATCAAGAAAAGCTATATACTGGCATATGTAACTTTGGCGTGGCAAAAAATAGATCAAATAATTATTGCCAAATACTAACCATCCGAAGATGCACCCGGATTCCAAACTAAATAGACAGCTGCTACAGGTATTAATAGTATAGTATTGCGAATGAATATTATTATTTAATGACAAAGAAAATAAATTATTGGGTTAAGCTAAGCTGCTGAAAAGGAATTGTGCTATACAAATCGACATAAGTAAATCAGTTCAACAAGATAATACTTAATTGATAACTTATCAATGCTATGACAAAATTAATCTAGTCAATAAATTTAGTAAATGGAGGTTGTTGGGGCCATAAGAAGATTTTTATTATTACTATTATTATTCAATCGCTTAACATTTGTATTATATTATATTTCAAATTTTTTTAATAAAATAAAAGAATTTTTTTTTATAATATAAATTTATTTATTAACTTATTATTTTTGTTAATGGGTAGAATTTATTCTGAAAATTTCAAAGATTTTTTTTCTACGTATAAAAAAGTGAAAAAGTTATTAGCATAATTAATTAATCGTGATTTACATAGTAGCATTCACATGATGAAAGTAAAGTAAATTAGGTAATAGTAATGAGTAATAATGTCGTTCCATATTTGATTAACCCATATATACAAAAAGAGTAATGTTGTCTATTTCCGATGGGAAAAAGTAATAAATGAGACTTTGCAAAGAGCAACTTTTTTAAAAATCGTCATTTATCAAAGTGAAAAATAATAGAGCTTGAAAAAGAAGAAAATAACAATAACAATAATAATGATCATCGTCATGTCGTCGTCCAAAAAAAAAGAAAATTAGAAATTTTTTTTTTGTGTACACATCGCTACCCGCCGTGGGATTTTTTTATTACAGATACCAAATTCGGTATTCTTATTATATCATCATCAATTATTATCAGATAAGATTAGTATTACTATATTTTATATAATATATAATAATGTAACAATATTAATATTACGAAAATTGTTTATGTCATGCAGTTGAAAAGATCTAATCTTTAATCATATCATATCAAATCAATCAAAGAACAAAGAGCTCGTAAGACAAACAAACAATTGGATTAAATTCGGACAAACATTCTCCCACCCCACGTCAATAAATTTCTAAAAAAATAATTTACGATAAAATGTTCCCACAATACTGGCAGCACAAATTGACGTTAAAAACACTTCATGCCGCGTATTTGTGGATATTCGTTATTATGTGTAATGATTACATTGTTAGAAGCTCTTGATTTGCTAACTTATAAAGGAGTGAGAAGAAAAAAATTGAGTTGAAATAAAAAAAAAATTTTTAAAGTTTCTTTTAGAAATATATTTTGCACATGCAATAATTTAGCATTGCTATTCGTCGACAAAAATAAAAATTAATAATTCATTTTTTTTTATAATGACAATTGCCGGATTAATCATTGACCACATCATTTAAATACTCGATTATTATTCATTTATTTACTTTGTGCTTTTAAAAAGTTGCTGTTGTTTGGTGAAATTACCAAATTCATTTGAAAATTGATTTTAATATTGTTATTAAGAAAATAAGAGAAAATTCGAAAAAAACTTGTTTGTTTAATTATTATTAATTTATAATTCCTCAATGGTAAGGTTCGTGTAACAATCAAAATGATGTGAAGTAAATTTAATAATTATTATTTGTTATAATAAGGAAATAAGGATGAACGAGAAAAGTTGACCCCGCAAAATGTTTGTTACAAATTAGGATTCACTTGAGAATAAAAAACAATCATATCAGATTATCTAAAGTCAGGTTAAAACAAGATGCATATTATGTCATTATGTCTACAACGATCTAAAAATTTCGGTTCTCCTAATTATAACCAGCTAAATTAGTTAATATTGACTAGAACTTACCAATATTTCACACCTTACCTGTTTAAAAAAAAATTTTTGAAAAAAAAACTACATATTCGTTTTTCTTGGCACACACAAAAATAACATTGGAAAGGATGAATGAAATAATAATTATTTTTATCATTTATTATGTTATTTTTATTATTATTTATTATCAAATATTAAAAAGTATCATTTATTATTATTATTAATATTAATATTAATATTAATACTAACTAATCAGCCCATTCATTCAAAAACCCTATACCGAAATTTTTATTAAGACACAAATCACGCACACACAACAAATTAGACATGCGCCAAAATTATTTTTATAAAAATAAAAATGAGCAATTAAAAATTACATAAATAAAATAAAATTGAAATTTCAAAATAACAAACAAAAATAAATTGATATAAAAAAGCCAATAAATATATTTTCTTTTTTTTTTTTTTAATAATCTTTTTTTGAATAAAATAATTTTTTTCGTCAGATAACTCAATCATTGAAAAAATAATTGATTTTTAATTAATTAATAAAATCTTTTAGCCTCCAGGCACATATATTCATTTCGCGAAAGAAACAAGCTGGTAAATAGTAAAATATTAATATTTATTCTAAAGGTGTCGTCGGTTGGATTCAAGTTGTAGATCAATAATTGATATCTGAAAAAAAATTGACAAGTTTTGACATCAAATCAAATCAAAACAGAATTCATTAGTATAAACACATCCGACTTCCTAATCAACTAGCTTCATCATCATTCATTCCCCTTATCAATCATACATACATAACACTCCCTGATCAACACAACATTATCATCATCTTTTTTTCAATCAATTTTAAATGCCAAGACTTAATCATAATCACAAAATCTTCTATAATCACCTTGATCAGTATTATCACAATTCTTCATTATCAATATTTCCAAATGAAATCCTATCATTGATATTTTTAAATCTCGATATAGGTGATTTATTGATGGTTTGCAGCGTCTCGAAAAGATTTAAAGATATCGGAACTTTATGCTTTGTCAAAAGATTAAAAGCAAAATCACCTGCTACTTTCAACAAAAACGGTAATAATTGTATTGGATTATTATTAAGCTTTGAACAAGAACATAGATTAAGATATAATCTTGAATTTGAGTTTGAATCGTATGATGAATTATCTGGTAATTTCAAATTCAAACCTAAGCCAACACCCAGCAACAATAAGAAAACAATAAGATTCATTCAATCTTCAATGGTGAAAAACCCTAGTTTGTACAGAGTCGTTTTATTTGGTTGCTCCAAGTTAAATCTAAAAAGACATCATCATCATAATAACGTTACCCCTACTCCAAATTCTCATATCGCAACCAACCTAATCAATAACCACAATGATCACCAACATGATTTTTTATCGAAATCAATGTCAATGCCAATCAAATCCCAAAACGAACGATTCACCAAAACTCAACATGCTTATCGAATGGGTGATGGTATCAATCATCTCAAAGTTCCATACAAATTCACCTACTCAATATCCGAAACTCCGCCGCCATCTATGGTCAAGACTCGTAGTGGTGAACGTTGGATTGTTCCGGAATCGTTCGAGTGTCCGTTGGGATTCTTCTATCCAAACGAACCAGCCACCCATCAAATGATCATGATGGCAATGATGGCTTTATCGTATTTAAAAATGAAAAACCATCATTATAATCACCATAATCACCATAACCATAATAATAGTAATCACCATAACCATAATAATCACCATAACCATAATAATAATAATCACCATAATCATAATAACAATAGAAAGGTGTTAATTGACATTAGTAATATTAATTATAACAAAAAAGTTGATCATAGCAATGATTATAATGTTGATGGTGGTAATAGTGATATCCTTCAACAACAACAACAACAACAACAACAACAACAACAACAACAACAACAACAACAACAACAACAACAACAACAACAAC